ATAAATAATTTTAATTCAGGGTAGTAGACTAGAAAGCACCTCTTGGTTGACAAAGGCTCTGAAGCAAGCCTTTCTGTACACAGCTAAGTGAGAGGATCTATAAACCTGATATTGTAGATACGACATATGGCAGACAGGTAAGGAACTCTCACATATGAGCAGATAATATTTTTAAAGTACATAAGTGTACAGTAATAGTCACAACTCATTACCAGATAAAATCTTAGAAAACTTCCCCAACTCCTGGTCAAAGCTTAATCTCCAGGCATTTCCCTATAAAACTCTACCTGCTCCCTTTCACACTCATCTGACCTCTTGTTAGTTACTTTTCTTGTTGCTATTACAAATACTAAACAAAGCAGGTTAAGAATTGAAGGGTTTATTTTGGCTGAAAGGTTGAGGGACACATTCTGTCACAGCAAGGAAGACATGGAAGTAGAAATGTGGGGTGACTGGTAACATTCCATCCACAGTCAGGAAGCACAAAGAGAGCAATGGGCTCAGCTCACCTTTTTATTCAGTCTGGGATCCCAGCCCATAGAATAGTGCTGCCCTTATTCAGAATGGGTCTTCTTTTCTCAATAAAACCTTCCTGGAAATACCATTATAATAGACAACCTAGAAAGGTATTTTATACTGATTCTAAACCCAGCCTAGTTAACAATGAAGATTAATTACATCAAAGAGTTGTAATTACTGTATGAAGGTTCAATTTTTGTGTGCACATAAAAAAGCAATAGTTACCCTCTAAATTAGGATGAGTTCCTGAATGCAGTTTTACACATGCTTTTCATTTTCTTTTTATTAATTAGCTCTTATTATTAGCATGTTTTAATATGTAGAAAGATCAGCATGACACTTCTGGGCTCTATAAAAAAAAAGGACTGAGACTTTGAGATGTGAAGGATAAATGATGATTAACACATTGTAGTGGTCATCCAATCTTGGTGAGCTCTTAAGAAGCACAGACTCGAATGGTGGGGCAGGTTAGGAGAAGGCTAGAAAGGCTTCAGGAGAAGGGGGCCTAACTAGGGGGAAGGAAGAGAGGAGAATCGTGGAGACACTGTGTTCTTTCAAAACTATCAAGGCTGGGAAAATATAAACTGGGGACTGGATTGGGGAATGTGTTTGTATGTGTGTATATAGTGCCACCTACTTCCAGTTCTCTGCTTCCTGATGTGATCGCTCCATTTCTCATTCCTGCCTCTTGTTGCCATGCCTCCCCACTATATGAACTCTTGTCCTTCTGGAACCATAAGCTAAAATAACTTTCTTAAGTTATTTTGGGCCATAGTGTTTTATCACAGCAAAAGAAAATGCAGAAATACAGGAAGGAAGGCAGAAACGGAGGGAGGGGAAAAAAAAGAAACACCAACCCTTTTTCATAATCTTCAGTAGGTACAAGGTAATTTACTTTTTTTTTTTTAGGTCATTGAATGATGTCAAATCAAGGCCAGGTGATGGTATCTTATAACTTACTGGCCTTGTAAACATCATTGGTATCAGCTTGTCATCAAAGATCATTTCTGTATCTGGTTCACATGTGGGACAGCTTATTAGCATTTTTTAATATTTAATTTTTGTTTGTTTATTTGGTTGGTTGGTTGGTTGGTTGGTTGGTTTTGAGACAGACTGGAGTTCACTATGAAGCTCAGGCTGGCCTTGAACCTGTATTTCGTATCTCAACCTCCTGAGCCTCTATGCCTGGTTTCTTAGCATTCCTAATTAAAATTCTAAGATTACTTTCAATATGTACATGCCAATAAGTTTCAAATGTCATGCTATTTCTAACATTTTGAGTAGATACTGTTTAATCTTCATATTGACTATAGAGGACATTTTTTGTGGTGATTCTAAACAAAAGGAAAAATGAAGAAAAACAGGTGTAATTAGTTGTAATTTCTTTTCAGTTGCTTACCTTGTAACCCCATTTCTCAAAACTGAAACAAAACTAAATCTAAAGAGGGAAAGTTTCTCATTTCCTGTAAAACAAGTTAGAGGGCACATTTAACTTTTAGACAACTAATAGAAACACCTAAAGTATTTCAAATATATTTAAATTTGAAACTTGAACATTTTGAAAAATGTAAGAGAAACAGAACCTCTAATAATGGGGCATAAGCCTAGTGTTCAGTCGTCTCTTGAGACCTGGGCCATGGCTATGTAAACATTATGTTTTTAATTTTATTTAACTAATTTATTAAAGTATCTAGGTTCATATTTACACTGTCTTAATTCTAAAGAAGAAATCTTGTATATGTTTTTGTGATATTTGTTTGTTTAAAGAAAATTAGTAGTGTAAGTATCCTTTTCAAAAATCTTAAAATTGTGTGGTCAAAATTCTACAGTCTAGAAAAAGTAGAATCAGTTCTACTGCCAGTGGCAGTATGTGAAATTTCTCATCTCTTCACATGTACATATGTAACTAGAGTTTTCCTGCCTTGCCCACAGTCAGGACAAATCTTTGTCACCCGTCAGTCCCACAGCCGCTCAGACCCAACCAAGTAAACACAGAGACTTATATTGCTCACAAACTGTATGGCCATGGCAGGCTTCTTACTAACTGTTCTTGTAGCTTAAATTAATCCATTTCCATAAATCTATACCTTGCCACGTGGCAGCTGGCAGTGACTCCTTCTGCCTTCCTGTTCTTTCTTTTCTCCTCTCTGTTAGTCCCGCCTATACTTCCTGCCTGGCCACCGGCCAATCAGTGTTTTATTTATTGACCAGTCAGAGCATTTGACATATAGACCATCCCACAGCATACATATTAACAGTAGATCATACTCTCCTTTTCAAAAACATTTTATGTATTATTTGATGATTTTATATATGTATATAATGATCATTTTCATCCCCTATTCCCCTCACTTATATCCTCCAACTCCCTAAACCTTTTTTCTTCTTAACACATCCTGATTCCTACTAGCATGTAATGGGTTATAGGCTAGCAGAACATTCCTTTGTGTTTATAATTGCTACCTTACAAAGGCAAGTCCTCACTGACTAGCCATCTTGGCATGATACGACTTTTTACTACAAACAGAAGTGGTTATGCTACCTCAGACCCTGCTTATGGATACTCTTTTCCCTTACTTTTCATTCTCAGGGACCAAAAAAATTGTTCTCAATCTTTAACTCTCGGGTCAACTCTGTTTTCATATGGAAGGCCCCACTCCTCAAGCAGGCATGTCACTCCATATCATATAGAGGAGGATAGCCCCATTTGGATTTCCCCTGCAGGCTACCCACCCAGACTCTTTCTCTGGATAGAAGATACAGCCATGATTGTATATCTCATCACCCAAAGCAAGGCCCATGAGACCACCAGTATAGCAAAAGGTATATAACCCCATACCATATGAGGAGAGGGAGTTATATCAAGATTTCTGCCATGGATGTCTACCCTTTTAGAGATCAGGTTCAGGTGCATGTCTCAGCATTCCAACTCATCTTTGGTTCATGAACATATCCTTGCTCATGCATCAAATGAATTGTAATTTTTTTTCTCAAAAGGAAAAACACGAATGACTATTCATCCTTAGGGAGAACTGATATTGGATCAACAAAACTAATCTACCCAAGTCCGGCTTGGTGAGTCAGTAAGTTACTGGACTTCTTTATAGGCATCTAGGTGAGGGGTTACTTACAGGAGAAGGGATGAATAAAAAGCAACTGACCTTCCGAGCACAGGTGATTTTAGAGAGCAGAGGACCTTGTGCATGGAGATAAGCACTGGGGAAGTCGGAAAAGTTAAAACACATAGCTTATCTCTTCAAAAGAATGAGGTGCATAGCTGCTTCACAATCTGGTGCTACTTTGCTGTCTGATCAGAGAGGCTCTGCCCTTATCTCCCAGAATTTATGGCTTTATTTACTCAAGACTTTCCCCCCTAAATCTTGAGCATTACTTTTAGACCATAAGACCCACCCCTATGAGTGAGATCACTTGTGTTTTACAGCAGCCTAAGTAACTTCTATGTTATCTTAGGGCCAGGCCATTCCCAAAACCCACAGGCGTTACGTTTACCTCAGTCAAACTCCCTACACCCTAAATTTTGGCCACTATCTCTGAGTCAATAGGACCCATTCTTGTAAAAGAAGCCAGATGTACTTTGTAAAGAATCACAATGTAAACATGTCTTAAACTGTTGTGTACTTAGGACTGAGTTAATTTTTATCTGACTACTTTTTTCAAAATTGTGCTGTGCTTAAATATGGCTAAAGTGAAATGATCTGGCCAGACTCTAGAAGTCTTGGTCTATCACTGGTTACAAGAAAATTGGGCTGAGCTGAGTTTCATTCTTGTCACTTCGTGGATCATTTTTTCCCTGCCTGCCATAAAGTCTTCAGGGACTCACCATAGCTGGTGTCCAATGGGGGGCCTGGAGCTCTCTGTACAACTTGCAAGCAGCTAAACAGGTAGGAGGCTCTCCTCTAGGCAGCTCAGCTGGTCAGTCTCCTTCCTCGGCAATTGGTTAGCTGCTCCTATAACACTAGGTAGGGGCATTTGGGAAACACTTTGAGAACACTCAAGTTTGGGGTTTTCTAGCCATGTGCAGTGTGTTTACCAATTGAGACTCAAGAACCTCTCCACAGGTCCTTGAGGGAATGTTTTAATTCAGAGGAAATTGCTAAAAACTACGCCTCAGCTGCCAGAGTTCTTTGAAACTATGGGAAGTATTTACATGGTGGAGGTGGAGGGTTGTGTGTTTCATATATTATGGGTAGCCAGGCTGATAATTGCACAAGATTGTAAAAGCATCCTTGCTTGGCTGACCTTGGAAACCTGACTAATTTTTGTGAGTGAATCTTCTCTGTTAGGAACCCTCTTGGCTTCTCCAAACAGGTAGAACACTTGCAGCATGGTTGCTTTGTTCTTCCCTCTCTACTCTCTCCAGAGTAGAACTGTCTCCTCCTATCCCTCCCAGCTCGCTACCCCAGGCCTCAGTGATCTCATCTTCTCTGCCTTTTTCTTCCAGCCTCTAGACACTGACGTTCAAAAATGAAGACTACAATCTGCTCCCTTCTCATCATCATCTCCATTCTTCAACTGATGATCCCAGTGAATACTGAGGAGACCTTAGATTCTCTCCTGGAGAAAAAGATCAAGAAACTTCTCAACTGTGGAGGTATGAGATGAGTAGGAGAAACCATAGCCTAATCCTTGCTCGTGCTGACAGTTGATAAAGCCTAAAATCCCTTGTACCCCACTCTGAGAACTCACCCCCTGTTCAGTCCACTTCATGCCTGCCTTCCTGACCAGTGATATCTTGAGTACTCTACCCTTTTGAATCCTTAGGTAAGAGATCAATGTTCTTGATGATGATGAAGACAAGGAGCATAGGTCCTATAATTTATGAACACATTATGAAACAGGTATAATGTTAAACTTTTAGTTAGTTTGTTTAATTTTCATTGCCACTTTAGGAGGTAAGAACACTTTACTTTCTACTGCTTTCTCTTCACAAATGAAGAAACTAAATCTTAAAAGTTAGTGAGTGGACTATTATGGAAGCAGTGACACCCCCAAGATAGAAGAGGACTTATGATGGAATGTGAGAAAGATCATGGGCAATATCACTTTTTTCCTCTTACTCAGGTGAGTGTACCTCTACTGTGACGAGGACTCTCTCCTGCACTAGTGTGAACGCTAGAGGCAGACTAGCCACCTGTCCTGCTGGTGAGTATCTCCTTGAGGACAATTTGTGAATAAGTTATCCCTGTGCCCAAGCCATCAATTCCCTAATACTGCCTTCTCCTAACTCAGCTTTCTGTTTCCATGGAGCTGAGCATAGTGCCAGGTGCCTAGACATCCCTTCCTAGTTGTTCGTTACCTTAAGGATGCTGCTGAAGGACTCTAGGGTTTTGCTCTTCCTGTAACCTCTTTGTTCGTGCCCACACATGCCCGCCCTTCTTGTCCCTTGATTGTCCAGTCATGGATATGGCCTTCCTTTATTTTCTAATCTATCCCATATATTGGTAGGCAGGGGGCCAGACCAGGGGTGAAATGGCCATCTACTGAAAGACAGTGAAATCCACCTTCCAAGTTATTCAATTTAAGTCATTTTTGCATTTCATTTGCTTGAAGAGAATTCTGAAGTTTGAAGAGCTTTATGCCCTGCAAAACCTAGATCTACCTATGCACCTCCTTAGAAGAAAAGACAGTTAGGGACCTTCCATTTCTTGCAGTCTAAAGGCTTTTATGTCTCACATGACTATGCAGGGATGGCTGTCACTGGCTGTGCTTGCGGCTATGGCTGTGGATCCTGGGATATCCAGAATGGAAATACTTGCCACTGTCAGTGTTCAGTCCTAGACTGGACCACCGCTCGCTGCTGCAAACTGGCCTGAGAAGGAAGAGGCTGAGAACCCAGTTTTGAAATGACAACTATAACAAAACCTCAATCTCAACTTGGACACCTGGCTAATGTCCCCTTAATGAATTCATATTACCCAGTAATCCTGCTTCTTGAAAAATAAAGACAAATTTTCACCTGCCTATGTTATGTCTTTTATGTTATTACCCCTAACTTGGGAAATCTCTCGCTAGAAAACATTTTCAGTACCTCACATTACATCTCAGTATGGCATGTGAGATTTGTGATTAGGGAAGGATGGGAAAGGGATTGATTCTCCACTTCTCCTATTCCCTCATTTTTAACAGAAAGTATTGAGTACATTGTTTGGCATGAAATATAGTAAATCAAATACCATGCACTTGATGGAGCTCACCAGCTGGAACAGTGAACTCTAACCCATGTGCAGGAGAACTTTGCAGACAGGCAAGAGGAAATGGAAAATAATTTCTAACCTTTTAGTACACACATGTACTCTTTCTTACTCAAGTACCCAAGATGGCATTCATCAAGGTGACTTCCTTCCCTGTTGCTTTCTTTTGAATAACAACATAAAGACACATCTCTCACATGCCACTGAGTCTTACTATACATTTTTCTGGGTGTAAAAACTACAGAATTCCAAACAAAAAATAAGCAAGTAAGTAACCCAAGGACTTGGAAGTGACTGTGTCTTAAGTTGATGGAATTGAATTTTTGGCCTTCATGGTCCTGAATAAAACTATAATTCAGTTACAACTTTGGATTACCAAGAATGATTTTTCTTTTTATTTATTCTTCTCTCATGTATTACATCCTGACCACAGTTTCCCCACCTCCTCTCCTCACAAGCACCCCTGCTTTTCTCCCCCAGATCTACTTCTCTGTTTCACTCACTAAAGGGTAGGCCTCCTAGGGATATCAACCAAACACAGTACAACAAATTACAATAAGACCAGACATATGCCCTCATATGAAACTTGGCTGAGGCAACCCAGTAGGAGGAAAAGGGTCCCAAATGCACACAAAAGAGCCAGACACAGCCATTGTTTTCACTGATAGGAGGCCCATGAGAACACCAAGCTGCACAACTATAACATACATGCAAAGGATGCAGTCAGACCCATGCAGGCACCCAGACTGTTGGTTCAGTCTTGTGAGACCTTATGATCCCTTCTTAGTGGATTCTGTGGGTTTTCTTGTGATGTCCTTGATTTCTCTAGCTCCTTCCGCCCCTTCTGCAAGATTAACCAAGCTCCACCTAATGTTTAGTGTGAGTCTCTGCGTTTGCTCCTATCTGTTGATGGATGAAGCCCCTCTGACAACAATTATGCTAAGCTCTGGTCTATGAGTACAGCAGGGTATCCTTAGTAATCATTTCATTTCCTTTTTTTCCCCCTGGCTGTACTTTATTCTATGCTAAGTCTCTGCACTATCCACTAAGGTTCCTGGCCCTCCATGCATGTCAGGCATGGGATCCCTCTTGTGGCATGGGTCTCAAGTTGAAACAGTCATTGGTTGGTCACTCCCACAATTTCTGCAATGCTTCTACCCCAGCACATCTTACAAGCAGGACTAATTGCAGGTAGAAGGTTGTGCCTTACTTGGTGTCCCAATCTCTCCACTGGACGACTTGCCTGGTTACACAAGGTGGCCTGTTCAGACTCTGTATCCCTCATTACTAGGAGGCTTCACTAGGGTCACCCTCATAGATTCCTGGGAGTTTTCATTGCACTAGGTTTCTACCTTGCCTCCCCAAAGTCCCCCAATTTCAGTCATCTCTCCTAGTACTCTCTCACCCCCCCCCCAACCACACCCCTTCGGTTCCCATGCCCACACGTTCCCCAATCCACCAGTGAAATTTATTCTGTTTCCCCTTCTCAGGGAGATCCATGTGTCCCCTCTTGAGCCCTCCTTGTTACTTAGCCTCCCTGGTTCTGTGGATTTGTAGCATGGTTATCCTTTACAGCTAGCATCCACTTATAAGTGAGTACATACCATGTTTGTTCTTCTGGGTCAGATGGAACTCAGAATGATCTTTTTCTAGTTCCATCCATTAACCTGCAACTTTCATGATGTTATTTTTTTTAAAAGAGCTGAGTAATGCTCCATTATGCAAATATATATTTTCTTAATCTAGTCCTTGTCAAAGGACAACTAAATTGTTTCCAGTTTCTGGCTATTATGAATAAAGCTGCTTTAAACCTAGTTGAGCAAGTGTCCTGCAGTAGGATGGAATGCCCTTTGGGTATATGGTTATGAGTGGTATAGCTGGGTCTTGAGGTAGATCCATTCCAAATTTTCTGAGAAACTGCCATATTGATTTCCAAAGTGGCTGTACAAGTTTGCACTCCCACTAGCAATGGAGGAGTATTCCCCTTGCCTCCACATCTCATCAGCATGAGATGTCAGTTATGTGTTTTTGACCTTAGCCATTTGGTCAGGTATAAGATGGATTCATTTTGATTTTCATTTCCCTGATAACTAAGGATGTTGAACATTTTTTGTTGTCATTTTCTCAGGACATGGTTTTTCTTTGTAGCCCTGCCTATCCTGATACTCACTCTATAGACTAGGCTGGCCTTGAACTCACATATCTACTTGCCTTTGCCTCCCAAGTGCAGGGATTAAAAGCATGTGCCACCGCCTCCTTTAAGTGTTTCTTTGCCATGTGAGATTCCTTTGTTGAGAATTCCCTGTTTAGATCTGTACCCATTTTTATTTGGATTATTTGGTTTGTTGATGTCTAGTTTCTTGAGTTCTTTATGGGAAAAGATTCTCACCAACTTCAAAAATGATTTTAAATAATAAATATTGAGAAACCAAGAAGAATTTAAATATATTCACCATCACTACAATAAGAATATTCTCTTCCAGTTTATTGACTAATGACAATGTATTTCTCAAAGCTAATAACCATAAAAAATAGAAATTCAATTAGATGCTGTGATATATCTATGAATATATAAATTACTTATATCCTCCATTTAAAAATGCATTCATAGGTATACTGTATTGCTGAAGCCTGTGCAGCTAAAGATGAAACTTGAAGTTTCTGGAAGAGAAGAGCAATGACCAAGGGCAGATAGATACATAGACACCCTAGTACAGATATTATAAAGACACCTTTTACTTTGAAAAGAGAACTTTCTTTAACAGTTTGGTATGTTTTAATGCAGAGCAGGGTTACTGAGAGTGTCAGCCCTTATCTTAGCAGTCATAAGTGTTCAGAGCTACCTCCAGAACATACTGTCCCCAATGGCACACCTAAAGGCTATCAGATCACCCTTCAATTTTCCACAGAGATGCATGCATGTGTGAAAGCCAAGGGGGTGATTATCTGATCACAGGTTGCCCTTAATTTTAAGTTTGTCCTTTATTATTCTCTCCATAGCAACAGTCTATTTCTTAATTATTTATCAAAATGTTTTTAAAAACTTCTATTCACTGCCATACTGTTAATCATTGGAATCATAGTTCTTTGTTCTTATTTATAGCCACTCAATTGAGTATTTTAAAATATAAAATAGACCATGCATTATTTTGTCTCAATTATTCTAACTCTCGTGCAGGTGTTCTCAACCTGTGGGTCATGACCCTTCTGGGAGTCCCATATCAGATATCCTGCATATCAGATTCATATCAGTAGCAAAATTACAGTTATGAATTAGCAATGAGATAATTGTATGCCTGGGTCAACGAAAATAAGAACAACTACATTTAAGGGTAGCAGTATTGGAAAGGTTGAGAACCACTGTTCTCTCCTTCAAGAGAGAACTCCTCTCTCTCTCTCTCTCTCTCTCTCTCTCTCTCTCTCTCTCTCTCTCTCTCTCTCTCTCTCTCTCTCTTCTATCTATCTATCTATCTATCTATCTATCTATCTATCTATCTATCTGTCTGTCTCTGTGTATGTATGTCTGTATGTGTCTCTGTAAGTGTGTGTGTGTGTGTGTGTGTGTGTGTGTGTGTGTGTGTTTGTGTGTGTTTATGTGCATGTGTGTACATATATGATCAGGCCAGAAGTCAGCTGTGACATTTTCCTCAGGTTCTGTCAACCAGGGTCTCTCACTTTGACTGACACTTGTCAATTCAGTTACTCTGTCTAGGCAGTAAGTCCCAGGAATCTGCCTGTCTATGCCATTTCAACACTGGGATTACTAGCATACACTGGGATGTCTGACTAGATGATGTGAGTTTTAGATATAAAAAGTAGATTCTTCATGAGTTTTAGCTTTGAAGAACCTACTGCCATAATTAAGATGGAAAGAGAAGATTTTTAGTGTAGTTATACTCAATTTATTTTATTTGGTTTAAGTTACCAATAACCATACCACTATTAATTACTTAAAATTATTTTGGTAGTCTAAAGTTGACCCATAAATTTTATACTCCTGTGAAGACTCAAAATTGGAAGTCCCCAAAATTACAGGATACTTAATGCCCAATCACTTGTTTACTTTCTTAACATTATCATAAATATTTTATTTATTTTTTGCTTTGGAATTCTGTAAGTTTTTAATGCCCCAGTGAGAGGCAATATTGTAATTCTCAGTGACAGGTGAAGACCGTGATGTTCTTTTGATATAGGTGAGACATGTGATTGGGAAAGAAGTCACCTTAAAGCCATCAGAGGCACTTGAATTGGAAGGAGATTTCATACATGCTGAAAAGTTAGAACATAGTTATTTTAAATTTTCTGCATCTGCCCATACTTTGCAGTCTTCCAAATCTCACTGTTGTAGATGTTGGTTCTCATAAAAGCAGGCTACGCCACTTCTCTGTATTTCATTCCATCCAATATACTTATAGTTTTTTTATTAAAATTGGGGAAAATTGGATGGTGGAGGTCCATTGTTCCCACTCTTTCTGTATCTTTTCTGATCATCCATCTCGGATACAGTGAGATGAAATCATTGAGATTCTGAATATGTTTTCTAGCATTAGACACCACAAGACAGTAGTAATAACATTGAGACATAAAAATAGATTAGTGCAAATCTCTCTTTATTATTTAAGAAGCAGGAATACTGTGTAATAGGAATTCAGTACAGGGACAATCAGTCAGGCTTTCTGGGAGAGATCATAGTTGTTTTAAAATCATCATTTCAAAACTAGATTCTCAGTCTCCTCATTCTCAGGACAGTTGGCAGCAGCGGGCAAGAGTCCAGTCAATAATTGGACACAGGCAGTGGCAAACATTTTCATTCTGGATGTTCCATGATCCACAGGCAAAGCCACAAGAACATCCAGTAGCAATCATCCCTGCATGGTTATGTGAGATAAAGACATCAGAGACCTTGGACCAAAAGAAATGCAGAGTCCCTAACTGTTCTCCCTAGAAAGCTCATGCATAGAGATACATTTTGTGGATCATAAAAGTAAATCTGTTTTGAGAATTTTCTTAAAGAAAATACTCATTTAAATGAAAAGACTTGTAGTTTCACTGTTTTTCAATTGATGGAAAATTCACATCTGTGTTGGCTCCTCTTCTACCACTACAAGGGAATAGAATGGGAAACTAAGAGAGCCATATAAATGACCACACAGTTTAGGTCTAGGAAGGCGGTCATATGTGGACATGAAGGAAGATGTGACAAGGTGAACAAATAGCATCCTTAAGGACTGAAAACCTGGAAGTGATGTCTAATCTCCTGGAACTACACCTCATCTCCATGGCATTAGAAACCTGAGTTAGGAGAAGATGGTATTAGGAAATTGATGGGGTGAACACACGGACACCCTATTCACCAATTCTCCTTGAGGAGTTACTCACCAGCAGAACAGGAGGCTAGGTTGCCTGAAGCCTTCACACTAGTGCAGGAGAGTGTATGGGTCACAGTAGAGGGATGGTTACCTGAATAAGATAAATAAGTGATATTGCCCATTATCTTTGCATACGAATTTTTAAAAATTCCTCTTCTGTCTTTGGTGTATCACGGTTTCCATAAGTAGTCCTCTCACTAACTTTTAAGATTTAGTTTCTTCATTTGTGAAAAGAAAATAATAGAAGTAAACAACACTTACTTCATAATGTAGTTATGAAAATTACACAAATTCACTAAAAGCTTAATATTACACCTGTTTCATGATGTGTTCATAAAATATATGACCTATGCTCCTTTTCTTCAACATCATCAAGAACATTGAGTTCTTATCTAAGAGTACAAAAGGGTAGTCTACTGAGTAGAGCCCTAGTCAGGGAGGCAGGGATGAAGTGGACTGAACAGAGGTTGAGATCTCAGTGTGAAGGACAAGGGATTTTTGGTTTATCAACAGACAGCAGGAACAAGAATTAATCTATTGTTTCTCCTAGTCATTTCATACCTCCATCGCTGAGAGCTTCCTTGAGCTTCTTTATGATGGAGTCTAAGGTCTCCTCAGTGTTCACTGGGATCATCAGCTGGAGAAGTGAGATGATGATGAGAAGGGAGCAAGTTGTAGTCTTCATCCTGTTGAAAGTCAATGTCCTGGGCCTGGAAGGAAAAAACAAAGAAGATGAGATCTGTGCTTTCAAGCATGGCTGTGAGAGAAAGGAAATATTCTGGAGAGAGAAGAGAGGAAGCAACTGAAGTAAGTAGACTGTAACTGTTTTAGCCACTTAGAGAAGCAGAGAAGGTTCCCAAGAGCTGACTCACCAGAAGCTCAGGAGTAGTTCCAGGGCCTGACCAGATGAAATGCTTAAAGAGACTGTGGGATAGTTGACCTGGACACCCTTAATATGTACAAGGACACTCTAGTGACATGAATGCTTTCCGACATCTTAACAGTCCAGGTGTCTTGTATGACAAATTCATGTGAATTAAGACACTTGGCTAAAGTAAAAGAGATGGGCTTCATGAATCTGAGGAAGTTCATCTTCATAGCTTCTCTGAATTAGCTGAAACTTACAAGACTCACATCCCTCCACAAATTTATAGGAGAAGCAATCAGCTGTTAACTCTGCCAATCTGAACTGCTAAGGGAAGACTCTTGGTCCCATGGAGGTACCTGGAAAATTTGCAGAGAGTTCTAAAGATTCAGTATCAGGGAATTGTAAAACATTCTGGTGTGAGAGTTTCAGTAATGAAGCTGCAATCATATTTCCCAACTCTTGAAATTAACACACACACACACACACACACACACACACACACACACACACACACACACACACACAAAGGAGAGAGAGAGACAGACAAACAGAGAATGTGTTCTGAATCCTAAAAAAAGTCTCACACAACACACTCGGTACAAGAATATAACAAAAAAGCACTAAAGCTGTTAGGACAGAGTGGCCTCATGTCTCTAAAATGGATGCTGAGACTTTTTTCCACGTGGTGTAAGCATACCTCTTATTGTCGTGAGACTTCAGAGCAAATCCACCACAGAGCCAATATCCGATGCAAACACACAAGCACGGGGTTTTATTGATTACCAGCTCAGGCTTGATCCTTATTCCAGCAGTCTGAGACAGCAGGTGGAGGAGGACAGCCCTGAGTTCTCAGAGTGCAGGGTTTTTAAAGGGAAAAACCACAGGCAGGGTGGTACAAGCCTACAAGCAGACACCTGGACTATTAAGATGTATGGAATGCATTCATGTCACTAGAGTGTGCTTGTACATATTAAGGGTGTCCAGGTCAACTATCCCACAGTCTCTTTAAGCATTTCATCTTGTCAGGCCCTGGAACTACTTCTGAGCTTCTGGTGAGTCAGTTCTTGGGAACCTTTTCTGCTAAGTGGCTTGGGTGAGGGTATGTAAACTTTGAATCCCCTGGTTGGGTTCCAGAGGAATTTTTCAACCATAAGAGTTATCAGAAGGATATTTGGAGCCTGCTGACGATGTCTTAGAATATTTAGGGCCAATAGATCTTGTTAATCTAAATTACTCATTGTCCAGTCCATCCTGGTAGGGTACCTTTTGACCTATGCCCTAGCTGTTTGTGATTTTTCTTGGATCTGTTTGAGGTTCTTTACTGGAAGAAAGTTCAGCTCCTGGCCAAGTGCTGTTTGAAATGGAATTTTCTTTAAAATAGAGTTTGTCTTGCTCTCACATTGGTTTGAGGAATCTCAATTTACTCTACAAAATGTTGTACCTAGAGTCCCCCAAAGACCATCAAGAGACCAAATCCAATGCAAAAGCAAAGAGTCTTTTTACTGTTGAGAGTTACCCCAGGCCTCTCCATCAGTCTGATGCAGCAGCAGATCAGGAGAGACTCCAAGTAGCAAAAGGGCAAGGTATTTATAGGGAGTAAAGCAGTGTCTTGGGGTCTACAGACTACACAGGAACAGACGCAGGATTGGTTTATGCAAGTAGCAATCATGTAAGTAACTTTGAATTGGCTAGGGTTAGTTGGGGGTTACAGTTATCCATTTTGGGGCAGTCCTGGACAAGTACTAGGCCTTGTCCTTGAGCTACTATGAAGGCTGGCTGGCCTACTACATACAGACTATGGGGCCTGGCTCAGTGGCCCAGGCTTGGTGTGTCCTATCTCCCTGTCCCTGCTGGTAGGGACATCAGGGATTAATTGTCTTTGTTCATGGCCCTCTCAGAAACTGCTTTCTCAGTCTCAGGAAGCTGAAATTGATGCCTGATCTCTGAGAGAAGACTGAGCAGCCTGTTATGGTCCTTTCATTACCCCATTGAGTAGTATATATCTCCAATCTTAGAGAAGTTTCTTTTTGGTAAAAGACTTTATCATCAGGGTAGTAGATTATTTTGGTGATTAATTGAACCAGGACATAAGATGTTTTTTGTTTGTTTGCTTTTATCTAAAATTTGAACATTAAAATAGGGGATCAAGTCACAAGTATATATCCATCAGGTAACCTCCAGTGGGATCAGGGAGCTAGCTCCCATGGATTCTGAGTGAGACTACAGAGGTTCATATAGACATGTAGAGGTTGTTTCAAACAGAGACCATTTGACATTATCAACATCAAAGTGAGCCTCCTCTTATTAGGTTGTTGCCATCTGCAAGTGTATCATTGCTTTAGTTTGGGGGTTGATATTGGGATCTAGTATCATTAGTTTAATGGTACCCAGATAAGAATCATTTAGTTAAGGCATCATTGACATAAAAGCCAACAACAATTAGTAGGAGCACAAGGGCCAAAAGCCCTGTGATGGCTGACAGAGTTTCTTACCCTGAAGGAACTTGGAAATGAGAATGGGGACCAGTTATTATTTTATCTCAGGTTTCCTGTGACAAGAAATTCCCTTTTGGTCTAACATTCCAGGGGCAGTGAAACAAGGGCGACATGTTTGCTTCTGTAATTATTTCCTGTTGGTGTTGGGACATTGTTGTCAGGGCCCCAAAAGACTAGAATATTAGTCAAAGGCAAGGAGGGAATTTAGAAGCATCTGGTTCATTGACCAGCTGAAGAGATGGCATTTATATCTAGTGGATTGGTCCATGTCAGCTTTTCTTTAGCAAATCTAGGGCTCACAGTCTTTTGGAGTAGGTTGTCTCCAGCAAATGGTGCTTGGGTGTGTCTGTCAGCCAAGTGGAAACCTGTTGAGACAGATATAAACTAGGAACAGGAGTTAAAATTTATGGACTTATTAGCTGGTCCTATAACACTAGGTAGGGGCATTTAGGAAACACTTTGAGAGCACACAAGTTTGGGATTTTCCAGCCATGTGCAGTGTGTATACCAATTGAGACTCAAGAACCTCTCCACAGGACCTTGAGGGAATGTTCTAATTCAGAGGAAATTGCTAAAAACTACGCCTCAGCTGCCAGAGTTCTTTGAAACTATGGGAAGTATTTACATGGTAGAGGTGGAGGATTGTGTGTTTCATATATTATGAGTAGCCAGGCTGATAATTGCACAAGATTGTAAAAGCATCCTTGCTTGGCCGACCTTGGAAACCTGACTGATTTTTGTGAGTGAATCTTCTCTGTTAGGAACCCTCTTTACTTCTCCAAACAGGTAGAACACTTGCAGCATGGTTGCTTTGTTCTTCCCTCTCTATTATCCCCAGAGTAGAACTGTCTCCTCCTATCCCTCCCAGCTCGCTACCCCAGGCCTCAGTGATCTCATCTTCTCTGCCTTTTTCTTCCAGCCTCTAGACACTGACGTTCAAAAATGAAGACTACAATTTGCTCCCTTATCATCATCATCTCCATTCTTCACCTGATGATCCCAGTGAATACTGAGGAGACTTTAGATTCTCTCCTGGAGAAAAAGATCAAGAAACTTCTCAACTGTGGAGGTATGAGATGAGTAGGAGAAACCATAGCCTAATCCTTGCTCGTGCTGAAGGTTGATAAAACCTAAAATCCCTTGTACCCCACTCTGAGATCTCAACCCCTGTTCAGTCCACTTCATCCCTGCCTTCCTGGCCAGGGATTTCTTCAGTACGCTACCCTTTTGAACCCTTAGGTAGGAGATCAGTGTTCTTGATGATGATGAAGAAAAGGAGCATAGGTCCTGTATTTTTTGAACATATTATGAAACAGGTATAATGTTAAACTTTTAGTTAGTTTGTTTAATTTTCATAGCCACTTTAGGAGGTAAGAACACTTTACTTTCTACTACTTTCTCTTCACAAATGAAGAAACTAAATCTTAAAAGTTAGTGAGTGGATTACTTGTGGAAACAGTGACACCCCCAAGATAGAAGAGGACTTATAAGGGAATGTGAGAAAGATCATGGGCAATATCACTGTTTTCCTCTTACTCAGGTGAGTGTACCTCCACTGTGACTAGGACTCTCTCCTGCACTAGTGTGAACGCTAGAGGCAGACTAGCCTCCTGTCCTGCTGGTGAGTATCTCCTTGAGGACAATTTGTGAATAAGGTATCCCTGTGTCCAAGCCATCAATTCCTAATACTGCCTTCTCCTAACTCAGCTTTCTGTTTCTATGGAGCTGAGGCATAGTGCCAGGTGCCTAGACATCCCTTCCTAGTTGTTCATTACCTTGAGGATGCTGCTGAAGGACTCTAGGGTTCTGCTCTTCCTGTAACCTCTGTGTGCCCACACATGCCCGCCCTTCTTGTCTCTTGATTGTCCAGTCATGGATATGGCCTTCCTTTATTTTCTAATCTATCCCATATATTAGTGAGCAGGGGGCCAGACCAGGGGTGAAATTGCCATCTACTGAAAGACAGTGAAATCCACCTTCCAAGTCATTCAATTTAAGTAATTTTTGCATTTCATTTGCTTGAAGAGAATTCTGAAGTTTGAAGAGCTTTATGCCCTACAAAACCTAGATCTACCTATGCGCCTCCTAAGAAGAAAGGACAGTTAGGGACCTTCCATTTCTTGCAGTCTAAAGGCTTTTATGTCTCACATGACTATGCAGGGATGGCTGTCACTGGCTGTGCTTGTGGCTATGGCTGTGGATCATGGGATATCCGGAATGGAAATACTTGCCACTGTCAGTGTTCAGTCCTAGACTGGACTACCGCTCGCTGCTGCCAACTGGCCTGAGAAGGAAGAGGCTGAGAACCCAGTTTTGAAATGACAACTATAACAAAACCTCAGTCTCAACTTGGACACCTGGCTCATGTCCCCTTAATGAATTCATATTACCCAGTAATCCTGCTTCTTGAAAAATAAAGACAAATTTTCACCTGCCTATGTTATGTCTTTTATGTTATTACCCCTAACTTGGGAAATCTCTCGCTAGAAAACATTTTCAGTACTTCACATTACATCTCAGTATGGCATGTGAGATTTGTGATTAGGGAAGGATGGGAAAGGGATTGATTCTCCACTTCTCCTATTCCCTCATTTTTAACAGAAAGTATTGAGTACATTGTTTGGCATGAAATATAGTAAATCAAATACCATGCACTTGATGGAGCTCACCAGCTGGAACAGTGAACTCTAACCCATGTGCAGGAGAACTTTGCACATAGGCAAGAGGAAATGGAAAATAATTTCTAACCTTTTAGTACACACATGTACTCTTTCTTACTCAAGTACCCAAGATGGCATTCATCAAGGTGACTTCCTTCCCTGTTGCTTTCTTTTGAATAACAACATAAAGACACATCTCTCACATGCCACTGAGTCTTACTATACATTTTTCTGGGTGTAAAAACTACAGAATTCCAAACAAAAAATAAGCAAGTAAGTAACCCAAGGACTTGGAAGTGACTGTGTCTTAAGTTGATGGAATTGAATTTTTGGCCTTCATGGTCCTGAATAAAACTATAATTCAGTTACAACTTTGGATTACCAAGAATGATTTTTCTTTTTATTTATTCTTCTCTCATGTATTACATCCTGACCACAGTTTCCCCACCTCCTCTCCTCATAAGCACCCCTACTTTTCTCCCCCAGATCTACTTCTCTGTTTCACTCACTAAAGGGTAGGCCTCCTAGGGATATCAACCAAACACAGTACAGCAAATTACAATAAGACCAGACATATGCCCTCATATGAAACTTGGCTGAGGCAACCCAGTAGGAGGAAAAGGGTTCCAAATTCACACAAAAGAGCCAGACACAGCCATTGTTTTCACTGATAGGAGGCCCATGAGAACACCAAGCTGCACAACTATAACATACATGCAAAGGATGCAGTCAGACCCATGCAGGCACCCAGACTGTTGGTTCAGTCTTGTGAGACCTTATGATCCCTTCTTAGTGGATTCTGTGGGTTTTCTTGTGATGTCCTTGACTTCTCTAGCTCCTTCCTCCCCTTCTGCAAGATTAACCAAGCTCCACCTAATGTTTAGTGTGGGTCTCTGCATCTGCTCCTATCTGTTGATGGATGAAGCCCCTCTGATGACAATTATGCTAAGCTCTGGTCTATGAGTACAGCAGGGTATCCTTAGTAATCATTTCATTTCCTTTTTTTCCCCCTGGCTGTACTTTATTCTATGCTAAGTCTCTGCACTATCCACTAAGGTTCCTGGCCCTCCATGCATGTCAGGCATGGGATCCCTCTTGTGGCATGGGTCTCAAGTTGAAACAGTCATTGGTTGGTCACTCCCACAATTTCTGCAATGCTTCTACCCCAGCACATCTTACAAGCAGGACTAATTGCAGGTAGAAGGTTGTGCCTTACTTGGTGTCCCAATCTCTCCACTGGACGACTTGCCTGGTTACACAAGGTGGCCTGTTCAGACTCTGTATCCCTCATTACTAGGAGGCTTCACTAGGGTCACCCTCATAGATTCCTGGGAGTTTTCATTGCACTAGGTTTCTACCTTGCCTCCCCAAAGGCCCCCAGTTTCAGTCATCTCTCCTAGTACTCTCTCACCCCCTCAGCCACACCCCTTCGGTTCCCATGCCCACACGTTCCCCAATCCACCAGTGAAATTTATTCTGTTTCCCCTTCTCAGGGAGATCCATGTGTCCCCTCTTGAGCCCTCCTTGTTACTTAGCCTCCCTGGTTCTGTGGATTTGTAGCATGGTTATCTTTTACAGCTAGCATCCACTTATAAGTGAGTACATACCATGTTTGTTCTTCTGGGTCAGATGGAACTCAGAATGATCTTTTTCTAGTTCCATCCATTAGCCTGCAACTTTCATGATGTTATTTTTTTTTAAGAGCTGAGTAATACTCCATTATGCAAATATATATTTTCTTCATCTATTCCTTGTCAAAGGACAACTAAATTGTTTCCAGTTTCTGGCTTTTATGAATAAAGCTGCTTTAAACATAGTTGAGCAAGTGTCCTGCGGTACGATGGAATGCCCTTTGGGTATATGGTTATGAGTGGTATAGCTGGGTCTTGAGGTAGATCCATTCCAAATTTTCTGAGAAACTGCCATATTGATTTCCAAAGTGGCTGTACAAGTTTGCACTCCCACTAGCAATGGAGGAGTATTCCCCTTGCCTCCACATCTCATCAGCATGAGATGTCAGTTATGTGTTTTTGACCTTAACCATTTGGTCAGGTATAAGATGGATTCATTTTGATTTTCATTTCCCTGATAGCTAAGGATGTTGAACATTTTTGTTGTCGTGTTTTCAGGACATGGTTTTTCTTTGTAGCCCTGCCTATCCTGATACTCACTCTATAGACTAGCCTGGCCTTGAACTCACAGATCCACCTGCCTTTGCCTCCCAAGTGCAGGGATTAAAAGCATGTGCCACCACCTCCTTTAAGTGTTTCTTTGCCATGTGAGATTCCTTTGCTGAGAATTCCCTGTTTAGATCTGTATCCCATTTTTAATTGGATTATTTGGTTTGTTGATGTCTAGTTTCTTGAGTTCTTTATGGGAAAACATTTTCACCAACTTCAAAAATGATTTTAAAAAATAAATATTGAGAACCCAAGAGGAATTTAAATATATTCACCATCACTACAATAAGAATATTCTCTTCCTGTGTTTATTGACTAATGACAATGTATTTCTTAAAGCTAATAACCATAAAAAATAGAAATTCAATTAGATGCTGTGATATATCTATGAATATATAAATTACTTATATCCTCCATTTAAAAATGCATTCATAGGTATACTGTATTGCTGCAGCCTGTGCAGCTAAAGGTGAAACTTGGAGTTTCTGGAAGAGAAGAGAAATGACCAAGGGCAGATAGATACATAGACACCCTGGTACAGATAGTATAAAGACATCTTTTACTGAGAAATGAGAACGTTCTTTAACAGTTTGGTATGTTTTAATGCAGAGCAGGGTTACTGAGAGTGTCAGCCTTTATCTTAGCAGTCATAAGTGTTCAGAGCTACCTCCAGAACATACTGTCCCCAAAGGCACACCTAAAGGCTATCAGATCACCCTTCAATTTTCCACAGAGATGTATGCATGTGTGAAAGCCAAGGGGGCGATTATCTGAGTCATCGGTTGCCCTTGAATTTAAGTTTGTCCTTTATTGTTCTTTCCATAGCAACAGTCTATTTGTTAATTATTTATCAAAATGTTTTTAAAAACTTCTATTCACTGCCATACTGTTAATCATTGGAATCATAGTTCTTTGTTCTTATTTATAGCAACTCAATTGAGTATTTTAAAATATAAAATAGACCATGCATTATTTTGTCTCAATTATTCTAACTCTAGTGCAGTTGTTCTCAACCTGTGGGTCATGACTCTTCTGGCAGTCCCATATCAGATATCCTGCATATCAGATTCATATCAGTAGCAAAATTACAGTTATGAATTAGCAATGAAATAATTGTATGGCTGGGGTCACCACAAAGATGAACAACTATATTAAAGGGTAGCAGTATTGGGAAGGTTGAGAACCACTGCTCTAGTGAAGATATTTGAAAAATTATGTCCTACTTATTTGAGGAAGGCTAACAAAAGTCTGTATTCTGTGGCCCCTGAATATACTTCTGAATTCATTTCTAACCCTTGCTCACTTCACTCTGGTCATGTCTGCATTCCTATACATTACACTCACCCTCCTACTTCCTACTCAGCATGAACAAATTAGTTAGTGTACAAGTCCAATTCTGAGTCCAGGTCAGCTTCTTCTCTTACTTTCTGTGCCTCCTCTTCTACCCTAGTCTTGACCATAGGGCAGCAGATATGGTTTTAACAGATGTTTGGGTCCCACAGTATCAACAAGATTCCTATCTGTTTATAGTCAGTACCTCTGAGAAAGAAAATATAGAAGATGAAGATGGAGGCCAGAGGTCAGCAATAGTAAAAGTGGAAGTCAGACTTTGTAGGTCGGGTTAACATAACTGATGACTGTATGGCCAATTTCTTGTCTTGTGTGTTAACAAAAGTCTGATTTATTTCAGGGTTGTAGGGTACCCTGCCTAGGAGAATAAATATGTATTAGACACAGTAATGGAACTCACACCTTTCTTGGCCAAATATTCTATTTCTTAAACATCTCTGGATAAGGTGAAGTTACACAGACTAGAGGGTCACCTAAGTCAGACCATAAGAGAAATCTGCTTTGGCTTTCTGAGAGTATGCTTCTAAAGTTAAAACAAGCACACAACAACAAAAACAAAAACAAAAACAAATCCAGGTTTAAGTCTATGTCTCTACTTTTTAGAGCAGGGGCCAACATGGTCAAAATATATAATATATTTGAATGAAAAGTCCATAACAAAATTCATCACTATATGCAATAAATATATGCCAGTTTAAAAAGTGAAGAAAGAAAAACCAGGCTTAAAACTGTCCAGGACCCTTGTTTTTTGGACTGATCATGTAAGATGATGTCCCATGCTATGGCAGGTCCTCCAGTTTGTAAGTGGGACGTGCACTGTTGTTACTCCCCATAGAGAGAATGAGTTGAGAGCAATGTCATGCTAGGCAAGCAGATGACAACCCATAATCATTCATCATCTCATATGTTTACTGCTTTTCCTTGTTGAATCAGTAACTAAAGGGCTCATAATGAGAGATGTT